TAGTGTTTTTTGCACGCTATGATTGACTACTCAATCAGTGAATATCCTGCACTATTCACTCATTTACCTCCAGTTCCTCTATTCCTTCGTCTCATAAATGTTGACATGAAAAAATGGAAAGAACACGCACCAGTCATCTACACATTTCTGCTAACTTGCTGTTCATCAACAAACAAATTGGTTTCCTGGGATTGCAATCACGGGTTCTCTAAAACAATGCAAGAGTCCCTTGAGTGCAAACGCCAGTGTTCCTGGAATTCTTTTAAAATTGAATAAACAGAGGTAATATTTTCGCAGATCTTAAAATTAAGTCGTTGTTGAAAGAGGGGTTGAATCTCCCTATTTATATCGTATTTCCCTCTCATGTTTACCATATCCACTACCAGTGTTCTGCCCCTTTACCTTGTTTTCTGTCCAATACAGAATATTGATATTACACTCTCTTTATTATTCAACTGCACCCAGTAGAGTGTAAATAACGCCCAAAACGAGTACAAGTTTCTCACAGTATTTGTACTCCAGAAGACCGGTTTGACTGGTTTTTCAGAAATGTAATCTTGCATAAGCAGGTAAAAAATAGCTGCAAACGCTACTTTCCCCTCCGAAGAAAACAAGAGTCTGCCAAATTTTGAAATGTTTGATAAAAACAAGTTCGCTGATACAAGCGACCATCAGGATGACAATGAAATTTTCTTGTTTATTTACGAATATCAAAATCGAAATTGTAACAAAGTAGACATATTCTCACCTTAATGTATGGAAACGATAGTGCGCAGCCATAAAATAAACAAGGGCCAGTAAAGAAAGTCCTCCCACTGAACTTGGAAATCTTGTGTCATTTCTTCATTAAAGCACGAAAACTAAGTGGTAAAGAATTAGAGCCTGGAACACTAACATCTCTCCAAAGAAGTTTCAACTGCCACCCGCAACAACTCGGCAAAAGTAATGGTGTCCTTCAAGACAAAGCATTTGAAAAGTCACGCGAAAGATCTCTCCAGTAAAACATTTCTGTTGTCACCTAGTTTTCCTGCACAAATGGTATCTCCTAGCATTGACTTCAGCGTTGAATATATATGGTTACATGGTTGGATTGTTTGACAAAAAATGATAGTTCTTTCAGTAGGCAGACCATTCTTGTTTATCTCCTCAACTAACCATTCGAACTGATGACAAAGGCTTTTATCATGACGCATATATTCTACAACCTAAGAAACATTGGGCTTCTCTGGGCTTTCGTCAATTTTGTAAGGGTCTTTCATACCAAGGACGTCCAAGATTGCTTGTTTTGTTTCTCTAGCTGTAGTTGCTGTTAAAGATAGTATGATTGCACTTGGAATAAGTGATCTAAGCTCGTGCATGCGACCATAACATTTCTCAAAAAAGGTGCCAATTTGGAGGAAGTAGAAGTTCTCCTACAATAAATACATGAAGCCAACATTACGAGAAAAATTCCCCTTCTCGACAAGAAAAGTACAGTTTGCCGAATTGGGAAGGAACAAGGTTGTATTTGGCTCAAAGGACAGTGCTTTACAAGTCAAGAAAAAATTAGAGGAAGCATATCAAAATGGAGGTGGTTTCGAAATTCTTTGCAGTGGTTATTCCTCAGGAAAATCTTTAGTTGTTCTTAGGCCACCAGTGTCTGTTGGTCACTTAATAAAATTTCTGAGAGACGGATCAGGTTTGGGGCAAGCATTGGCTTACATTCGCCCACTACAAAATCTTTAGATGTACATGCTGAAGAAGTAAGTCTTTCAGAGGTGATTGCAAATTAAAGCAAGAACGGTATAAATTTTTCCCTGGTGTGAACCTGCAACCACACGATCAACTTTCTAACGTAAAATAAGTTGCATCATTTGTGATAAGTTTTAAATGGCATTTAATTGTCTAACTTTATATTTGTTATTTTGGATTAGTACATTACCTTTACGCAAGTGTGAAGGTTTTTTAAATAGCATTTTGTAGAGTTACTTACCCCATACGTACATCACAATACATTGAATCAACATTTTGTCATCTTCATAGTCAAGCGTACATTCATAGCTCTCGTTTAAAAACAAGACGCTGTGGGAGCGTAAATTTGGCCGTGGTTGTACTCCTGGTATGATACGTAGAATTTTGGTTATTCCAGCTAAAGTACTGTAATGATATGTTATCAGAGAGGATAAATCTGTTAGTCTAATTCTTGGCTCATCCATAGAGCTGATAGAGTATGTCCCAATTGAGAACAAAAATCAAGTAATTTCATTATAATGTTTGAAAATATGCAAATGTTCAATGGAGAGATGCTTGGACCAAAATTGCAACATAGGAGATCAGTGGTTATAGCCTGGAGAGTAAGGTTTATCACAGCTCCACTGATGCTGACACTTTGAGGAAGATCGATTGACATGTGTGTTTTCACAGCAATCACACTGTACAATTTATTCTGGTTACTAACAAGGGTAGAGAAAGTTCGTTAAGTCTAGTATCCACAAGGATAAATAGGAGAGTAATAGATTGTATAAGCTGCTATAGTGGAAAACTGGTTACAGGAAGATTTGTAACTATTGACATGTGGTATATTACAATATTCAACACTGCTTGAGAAAAGATGAACTTTAAAGGCGGCAATATGTATACCTTGAAGTAGATCTTTATCCTTATTGCTATATAGAGTGTGAAAATATTGAACTCATTTATGCATAGACGGTGTTTTGAACGATAGACATGTCCGATCACTATGACTGGTACCATACATATCTGTAGTATGGAAATCAAAATAGTTTATATCCGCCACTGTCAATGGTGTAGATAGCAACACCAATAATTCCCACAGTTAAAATGAGTGAGTTTTAGTTGAGTGCCAAGAGTGTTGTAAATGCTGTACCAAGAGGCATATACAGTAGTAATACCGCTCATTTCTGTGATCACCATGTATTTTACCCGGGGGGGGGGGGGTACTCCCATACATTACCTATACGGGTATGTGCCGCCCAAAGGGGTCGTGATTTTGAAGCTCCTGATTTAGAACGGGGTATCCATTTCAAAGGCGTTTTCTAGAACGTGGTATAATATTTCGAACGCACGAAAGCTCTACTTTTGTAAGCAGCCATTTGAAATTACTCAAGGACAGATTCCTTTTAAAAATACGGTTCAATGCGTTAACAAGCAAACCGTTGTACTCTTGTTGCACCTTAAAACGGAGTATAAAAAATTGGCCCATTTCTAGAACGGATTATCAATTTTAGGGGAAATATTTTCCAGAACGGGGTGCCAATTTGGAGTCCCGGGCGGCACATACCCACCCAAAAAAATGCCCAAGTGCCCCCGGGGCATTTTACAAGTACGGTTGTAACTGTCACTGTGGATTATCCATGCGAGCTAACAAAGTAGATGAATTAGAAAATAAGGACAAGAAATGGCAAACTTGGGGGATTATGCTAGAGATTTCAGTTTCTAATCTGGAGACCAGGAGATACGGTTCAAGATCTGGAGTCTGGAGTGTCCTCAGTGGCCTATATGTATCTGGGAGAGTTGACAGGATTGCGATTATAAAGATTAAGTTGAAGATCTTACCTTAGATTAAGGGCCGATAATCAGTTCTCTTGGTAACCCAAAGTTGCCATTTTTGTACGTAGAAGCACGTTGTTGGCGAGTATTTTCAACGAAAGATTAGATATTGGAAATGGGAAGTAAAGCAGTTGATATTTTTTGATATGTGGTGTCCGAAGGACGGAAGTGTCTCAAAGCAAGATATTTTATAGAATGTGCATCTTGTATTTGTTTGTGAATTTTTCTAGAGGCCGTGATGGGAAGAGTGGGTGAAGAAATTTTTAGAAAAGTGTTGGGAAAAACGTGAACATTCGTGAAGAGGCATGTTTGTTGTTCGAGGTCGGTTCCAGTTCTCTTTGGCCGTTTCGTTGTTTTGTTTTATGTATGCGTCATATAGTGAACTCACGGTAAAAAATGGCAACTAGGAAGGAAATGCTTGTGTATGGCAGTGGATTTGAAAATTGAGTTGGACGTGACAGTTGGTAAAATTCGTTAAAGGTCCGAAATGTAACGTCGAATTTGTAAGTTTGAATCTAGAGATTGAGTAGTTCATGGATAATAGAAAGAGTTTGTATTATGCATGAGTATTCAGACTTTATGTTGGAAATCGGCTGAAAATGGAAATAGTGTGTAGAGTTTGAGGAGTTTCCTCCTTGGGTTTGTGTTCGTGTTTTAGTTATGTTCTTGTCAATGCATTATAGACGCCTTTGGAGTTTTTGTAAGTGGTAAGATCGGGGAATTTGTACTACTATGTTAGTGGTTTAAAATTGATGGAATTTTGTAAGTGAAAGTCCAGTTGCGTGCTGAAATTCGAGAAAGAAAGGAAAGATAGTGAAGAACAAAATTGTACTTGTCGGCTGTATGATATGTTCTGTAACTGTGAAAGCTGTATTACTGCAGTGAAATTGGATGCTTATAATTCGGCAGGAAATGGAAAACGATGCGATCTGGAGTGGCAGAATTCATCCTTATTTCATTCTGGTAACTACCCTGCGAACAGTGGTTTGTCCAGGCCGGATGGTACGGAATAGAAACTGTCATTCGTAGCGTCCGGCGTGGAGAAACCACTGTTAGCCCAAGCTCGAAATATAAGCATTGGTCATCGTCGGCATTGTTGCATAACATTCAAAATATAAGGATTCGTATGGGAGAGAAAAGCGTTTACATAAAACGCCATGAAACGGCCATAAATCGGCCTGTGGACCACACAGGAGAGACGTAACACACATTTTAAGTAAGGTGAGCTGTTTTCTATTGAAATTCTTTCATTTTGGTAGGTTACAGAAACGATAGGTTTTTTTTCCCATACGAATCCTTATGTTTTGAATGTTATGCAACAGTGCCGATGCTGATAGTTCGAGCTTGGGCTACCTGTGGAGAAACCACTGTTCGCAGGGTATGCGGGATGGAGTGCCATATTGCGAAATGTCCATGTTACTGAGGTCTAGGGAACTGAGTCCGCCCACTTGCTAATTCGAAGACATCGAAAATTTTATAAAGAATTTAGAGCTAAGGTGATCATGAGATCTCTTAAGCTGAGAAACTGGACCTTCCTGGTTTTGGAGACGCTGTGTTGGAGTGTATTTCTATGAATCATTTGTGAAATGTTCGATGTGTCATTCATATGTGAGGGCAGGCTGACTCTTTTCCTGAAATGTCGGTTTTTGCAAATGAGATCTTAATAAGCAGGTTGAAGATTTTGCCATGAACTCTTCATACCGCTTTCCGAGATGAAGGGGAGATTAATTGTGGCAGTCTCGATCAAATTGTGTTGCATTAGCCAACATCGCATTGCCTGCTGTATTTTTCAGATCACTAATATCCAATTGAATTGCAGTGTTACAGGTTAAAGAGTGACTGAAAGTTAATATTGTTATGTTTTGACATTTTTGCTTTGTTTAATGTGCACGGTCTTTGACTTTTTCTTATCTTGGAAACAGAGCTGAAATTTGTGATGTCAACCACAGGGTACCCAAGGTCACTACAGGAATGTGGAGGTGACTCTTGCTTGCAAGCAGTGTTGTGTTACAAACGGTTATTTACAAAGGGTTGTATGGGATGTGAATGATTTTTTAAAAAGAGAGAAAAAATGTTCTGTGTTTTTTAATAAAATTGGTGTACCTTATTGCCTTGTTGTATTTGTTGTTGTTTAATTGCCCATGTCTCGGGAGTTTTGAGGCATTTTCAGCGAGTTAGTGCTATTTTCGTGTTCCACTGCTAAGAGAAAGTCTGTCTTCGCAGCGGAACACCAAAATGGTGCTAACCTGGTGAAAATGGTTCAAAACGGCCTGAGATGTGGGCAAAGAACAAAGAATACAACAAGGGAATAAGATAAGTCGATTTTATTTAAAAACAAGATTTTTTCTCTCTTTTGACAAAAACTGTTCACATCTCATACAAGTGTTTGTAAATAACTGTTTGTAACACAATAGCACTCACGAGCAAAAGCCATGTCAGTGTTTGTGTAGTGAGGTTGGGCCTTCTGTGTATCAAGGCAATGCAAAATTGATTTCTGGTAAGTGGGCTGATGTGAAGGGGGCGAAGTTTCATAATTTTGAGTTGTTGTGATACCAATGTTGAGAAAGGGTCCTTTGTTTAGTTTCAGCACAACTTGATTAGAGTATTTCATTTGTTCAAAGAATAATTTCACTCCTTAAAGGAAACTGAATAACTTTTATTCAATTTGAGAAGTTGAAAGTAACAAACAAATCAATAATGGTAAAAATTAGTTTATTTTTGTTGACAGATTGTAACAAAGTTGATGAGAAGTGAACTCAAAAGTGTCTCTCAGGAATCAAAATAAAGTTGAACTATACTAAAGAGATGTTCCAAAAACGAGGTATTTTGAGTTAGTTTTACTGAATAATGATTTAGTTATTGCATAACAGATGATAAAGGAGTATGATTAGAAAACGCAATGATTATGATTCTAGAAGAAAATTTAATTATAGCCAGAAAATAGAAATGACTAAGAAAAGAAGGGTCTGTTTAAAGTTAAGTGGAAATTGAAATTGAACATTTGCAAAGTTATATTTTCCAGAAATGTAGAAGGGGTTTTACATCTTTCATTGATGTGTAATCAGCATTGGTTTCCTTACTCATTTTTTATTGTCACAACAATAATATTATTGTCAACAGATTGTTGATTATGAAATGTAATATGAGGAGTAATGAGTATTGATAGGCAATGCAACTCCTTTTGTTTACAGCTGAATCTTGTCAATTACTTAATTATTTAGTAGGGGTGTGTTGATCTTGAGTGCGATGTAGTGTTCCATCTGTTTATTCCCCGATAAAGATAAACAACAACAAGAACTAAAAACAACCAAAAGCCACAATTGGGGCTTAAATAGGAGTTGTGTGGGTGCCGTTGGTGAAGAATGTAAAATTGTTCACTCATCTGCCTTCTGATGTTATTTCCTCCATTAAGGGGTTCCACTACCCTCCCCAGAGTGCTCGTCCGCCCAAAGCCGTTGGCATAAATGGGTTAGCTAGGTTAATTAACCGCCGCCTGGCACTCGGCGTATGACCATTACAGTTTGTATAGCTTATAGTCATAGCTATAGCAGGGCAAATGTATTAGTTGACCTGACCTGACTAGAGAAAAAGAGAATCAAAGGATCTTGGACATAAAAATGACTCAGTTTGGTAACTTGGAGTAGATTGTAGATTTTGAAAGCCACATGGTTTGGAGTATGGAAGTTATTTATGTTGTGAATTTCTTGTTGTTGAAGGAACTTTGTTGTCCTGAGTCATTTTTTTTTTTTTGAGAAAGAGAACAACTGTGATAATTGTAAAGGGCTTGTCTATTACTCTGTGAAGTACTCTAGATTTTAATGTCTGTCGGTTTGAAAAAAAATGCTTAAAAGGTAGTGACATTTTTGACCAGACAGGTTTATTTATACAAACGAAGAAGCAATTGTCATAAAAAAAAGAAGAGAAAAAGGTATTATCGAAAAAAGGAAGCAA